AAGAGAAAGAAAGAACAATGATCAGAATCTCCTCTCTGGCAAGATGTAGCAGTTTTCTTTTCTTTTATAACAGTGGTGTATGAGTCAATTTCTGCGTGCCTCGATTAATTCTCAAGTTACCTACTACCTCCCACTAACACTAGTATAGAGTAAGTCCGTCCACAAAGTTTGAACATTGTCTTGGATATTTGGGGTTGAGTTAGGCCTAAGTGTCATATCTTTGAATGGTATAAAAACCAGGTCACTTTTTGGAATCCAATTGATCTTGGGCGTGAAGGGAATATAAGAGTGGCTTAGAGTCCGACATCGGTTAGGGCATTCTTGTATGGATTTAGGCAATTCTCACCTCAAAAGTTAGCTTCTAGAGTTGAGTTACACCCAAGTGTCATATCTTTACGGATAGAAATCACCTGCTGATTGTAGTAGTGTTGTCATCAATAATGCCACAAATACATTGATTGAGTGAAGGAATGGAGTGGAGAAGAAGAGAACATAAAAATATAACGTACTTCTCCTGAGGATACTAATCAAAATAAGCAATACGCAAAAGAAAATTTATAACAACACAAGTGCAACAAACGTATTTGCACATTGCCAAAGATAATTAACCGAGGAACACTTCCTGCATTGTGTTTATCTACCACAAATTAAACAGTGCCTCCCATAGTTAAAAGAACTCGTACCGGAACCTTTTCTTGAAGCTTTTTGTCCTTTGTCACAATCAAACCAGAATCCAGTGCAGAAAATTGTATTGCTACCAAAAGGCTACAATTCTGCAGGATTAGTAAAAAGTTTTGATTGCTTTAGAATTGTATCTAATACCCTGTAAATACAATCATAGACATGTTGTCTGGAAGGTTCGGCCATAAATTCATGAAGAATTCCATTAATTTCGATCCAACTACAACCAGGCTTTTTCTTGATTCTTTGATCTCTCATCACCTTCACTGTCCTGGAAGCATGTTCCAACATATTACCAGAGTTATACAAATTCCATAGTAGTACATACACCCCGTCATCGTGAGGTTCTAGTTCAAGTGCTTTCCCGGCAGCCATTTCAGCTAATTCCAAATTTCTATTCATAACAGAAGCACTCAGAAGTGATCTCCATATGACAGCATCTGGTTTCATAGGCATTTGTTGAATTAACTGCACTGCTTCATCCAAATGACCAGCACGACCAAGGAGATCCACCAGACATCCATAATGTGCTATCTTAGTTGCACAACTAGTGTCATTCTTCAGCCTGTTGAATAATTCCTTCCCCTCGTTAACTAACCCAGCATGGCTACAAGCAGATAGAACTGAGAGGTAAGTAATCTCATTTGCAGTCACCCCAGATTCCAACATCTCATCAAAAAACTCGAGGGCATTTCTTCCTCTACTGTGAAGTGCCAAACCTAAAATCATACTAGTCCACGAGAAAGCATCCTTCTTTATCATTCCCCTAAAAATCATCATAGCAAAATCAAGATTCCCACTTTTAGCGTACATATCAATCAAGGCATTATTTACACCAACATCCATAGCAAAACCAGCTACCTTGTTTACATATCCATGAATAGACCTCCCAAAATCCAGAGCTCCAATATCAGCACAACCAGATAGCACAGCAACTATTGTGATTGAGGTCGGGTTATCATCACCTTCTTTCCTCATTCTCTTAAACAGTTCCAATGCCCCAACCGGTTCTTTACCACGTACACATCCCACAATCATCACAGTCCACGAGATGGCATTCCTGTAGGATATTTCCTCAAACAACTTCCAAGCAGAATCGATTTCCCCGGAAACTACAAACCCATTGAGCAAACTAGTCCAAGTAGCTACATCCTTAACATGCATACCATCGAATACACGTCGAGCCAACAAGATTCTCTCAGTGCGGCTATACATATCGATCAGAGCATTACCCACAATAGGTTCAGGTCGATTAAGAAATTTATAGACCATAGCGTGCACCGTTTTGCCATTACACAGGTCTTGTGTGCGAGCACAAGCTGAGAGAGCTGCAACTATGGAATGGGAATCAGGTTTTAGAGAAGTTGAAACCAGTAAGCGGGTGAACAGATAAAACGCTTTAGTGGGTTGTTGTAATTGCAAATGCAGAGACAAAAGACAACTCCAGGAGACAATATCTGGTTGGGGAATTTGATCGAACACCTTGTAGGCAGAAAATGGTTTGTTCAGTTTGGCATATATGTTAAGCAGTTTGCAGGCAAAAGATTGATGAAATTGGGTAAAGATACCACATGTGATGGATTGAGCATGAATTTGCTGGATCAAATTCTCATGGCTTATACATTTGTCAAGTAGACGTTTCAAAGTTGTAGCTTTTACTACCAGTTGCTCACTGTTTTGGATCATCAAATTACCAACACTTCAATACTTTGTCCGTTCACTCACAGATGCAACTTACTAAGCAGAATATTGAGATAATAAGCTTCTCAAAAAACTAAGGCTTGTTCCAATTGAGCATGTGAAGATAAAATGTTCCTATCAGACACTTTCAGTTCGAACTTTGGAATTTTTTTGCTTGGTCTGCTTTACTCTTTCATGTAAGATGGAATTATATAAAGCTAAGTATGCTTGAAGGTTGATTAACTGTAAATGTAACAACATAGATCCAGTCAGTTCTGTTCTAAAACTTTGGAACAAAATAATAACAGCACATATGACGATGCTTGACTGACAAAGCAAATTTTGAATGGTATAATTGCCAAACATCTTCCCCTGCCTATGCTAAATTATTTTATTCATTGGAATTCATCACCTGAAATGTGCAAATAAAGAAAGAAGTAGTTTTCTTATTCAAAATGCGTATAGGAAACGAAGTCTATTACAATATTTAACTATGCCCTCAATCTCGAGCCAGAAATAACAAATTGAAGTCATGTTTGAAGATAGTGAAGGGCAGAAAGCCACGTTTATTACAATATTTCTCCTTCTCCTGCCGCTCCTTCTCCTGCCGCTGCATCTCCTCCTCCTGCTTCTTGTTGTTCTTCTTCTGATGATGATGATGATGATGATTCTCCAGATGAACTTTCTTCTTGAAAGGGAATACCTGGACAAAGTTATATACAAACTTTGAGAAGAATTAGAAATGATTTACACTTGTTTCAAGTAAAAAATCAGACCTACAAATTAGAGAATGCCACCAAAGTCAAACAAAGAAGGCGCCCAAATCGCAATGTCTCTATGAAAATGTTCATTGGCTCAGTTGCATGTTTTAACTTTTAAATATAAATTTGAAAGGAATAGATAATCCTGACCTTAAGTCTCATTTAGGACATCACAAGAACTAAAATACAAAATTCAGCGGAAACAAACTGGTACCTTCGATGATAAATCTTCTGATGTCGTCCAAATTTGCAGCAATATGCGCCTGATCATCAGCCTCTATATTATTGGAGGGTGTGTAATGGGCTCCAGCTAACGTTGGATGGAAGCAATACATTGGAAATTTAACTCCGTGCAACACTGCAGCATGTTCGTACATATTGATATTAGCATTATACTCGTATAGATCATAAAACAGTGTCAGGGGACGTTGTACCAGAAAAGACACTTGCTTGTTGTCGATCCATACTGGAAAGCCATTAATAGTGCCTTCTGGACCTAAAATAAAGTTGCCCAAATTGTGGGAAACCCTCCAACGTCTGCTTGCACTCCCATAAATAGCAATGACTATGTACATTCTGAAAATGCATACAAGGGTAAGTAAACCTTGCGCCTTCCCTAGCCATATACTCTGACCACTCAAAATTTTACCATAGGTGAGATCAAAATGATCAAGAAACTCAGGACGGTCAATTAGTATAGCCTCTTCTCTTTTCGTATCAAAAGCTAGAACACTACCGTCCTTTCTGAGGCAATACAGAGAATCGCGCCAATAAACAGCTCGACTACCAACAGGTAAAGATTGGACAGTATTGGTTCTCAGTTGGATTTCTCGCCACAAACCAGGTTGCTCTGATGAAAGTAGGTGAAATTTGTATAACAAGTTGGAATTTTCAACCAGGCTACTGACGGTTACCAATTTGTATTGATCTGACTTCGGGTAATCAACCACTAGACCTATTTTTTCTAAATCATTTGTAGAAGACTTTGGGTATGGTATCAATTGGTGCTCTTCAGTCATGGGATTGAAAACACAGTAACGCCTAACTCCTTCAAAGTCAATGAGAATGAGACCATTACATGAGGCCAAAATCTCAATTTCATCGGGTAAAGTCGACATAGATTGAGTGATTGGGTTTAAGGAGATTTTGTCGAATCTTTTTCGTGCTGCTCCATCATATACTGTATAGATGAGTTGGGTAGAAGTGCCTTTATGACGTTGAAACAAAGTTTGGGCAAAGTCAGAATGACAAATCATACCCTTAATATTCTGGGATAGAAGTTTACATTGAACAACAAATTTCAAGGGCAAGCGGGAGAAGATTTCCCCAAGGACATCTACCTTAAATTCCATATCATCATTCGCCATTTTCTTCTCCTCAACTATGGAATTTTGTTTAAATAAAAAGTCCTATTTATATCCAACCGTTACTTTAACTAAAGGGTGTGTCTTTTAGACGAAAAGGTGTATTTTAAATGAAAGGGTGTGTTGTTTCATTCAATTTGGTTACCAACGATTGTTTTCTAAATCCAACTCCAACGTAACTTTTACAGTGAACGAGAATATCCTGTACAACCGTCTGCAAAAACTCTCTTCTTCTTGGAACTTGTGTTCCAAAAAGATGGAGTTTAAATTAAAACACAATTAGACAACAGAACTTTTGTTGATTAAATTGATAGGAGAAAATTAGAGTTAGATGAGTGTGGAGCGATTGGATTTGAATCACCTGAACTAAAAAAAATCACATAGAAATGGTTGCAGATGACAAAGGATGGTTAATTTAGTTAGAATCAATAATGGAATTTGAATTCCAATGGTATGTATACTAACAAAATGGTTGTATTCAAGTATTTACATTCATGAATGAAGCGTAGTATAATTCAACCAGTAACTTGATTACTCGATCAAGTTGTTGCTTTTCTAACAATGACATGGATCAACATTTGCTTTCCCTTCTGAAGGTATATTATAACCAATCTTTAGTAGTCCATAAGCTTTTTCTTTCCCCTGTCCCCCAACATTTTGGTTATACTTTTCAGTAACACAGAAAAGAATTTGGTCCACAAAAAGGGTTTTGACTTCTAGAAAACTCGAATGCAACACAAAAATAGAAAAAAGTAGTGTTTCAAAGTTGACTTCCTTAGATCCATTGCTTCATTTTGCCACATGTTCTCACTAGCCAATTGCGTAGTGAAAATGTTCGTAAATAGATCTTCTGAAAGACGCAAAGGATGGTTCCTTTATGCAATCTTACAGAAAGTAGAACAATTTTTAGATGAATCATTTCTTTTGCCTTCCCTGGTCATGAATGATGATGGTGATAAATATACATTGGCATTAATCCAGGGTCGCTTTGATCTATTTCGCCTTAACCCTTCATCCCGAAAGACAGAATGGCTAGTGGTGTGTGATTCTGTTCATTTCAAGTTGTTGTTCTCACTTACACAAAAAGAGATGTTGGTGGTAGTTCTCATACAAATTTGTTCAAACTTTAAACTGGTTGGCAATGTAATATAAGCTCTTTTTTTTCACTTACGTTATTGGGAATAAAATAATTGCTTTATATATGATCATCATGGTATCCATTCATTTTTTTCGGGCCAACTGTCGGGTACCTCTACTAATTCCACGGGATACTTGCCACCTCCCACCAACAATAGGTTCCGGGTAACTCTGTCCACCAAGAATAAATATGGAGTGGGAAGCAGTCACTAATTCAACAGTGAGACATTCTCTTTTATCTCATTCAACACTTTATCGTGTTCTTCGACTTTGTGGAGAATGAGTAAGAGAATCTCTTCTACTTTTTCGCCCTCGTACTCATTGGACTTTCTACGCTCATGAAGGGGAATGTACCGATCTTTCTTTTTGTACGGTACCTCTAATTCCATAATCTGTTTGGCCACGAGATCCAACTGAGTCAACAGTGTGGCCAAAATCTGGTCCTTCTCAGTCTCTTTGTTGGTCTTAGCAATGTGATCAAGGGGTTGGGCTGCTATTGCACAAGGTAGTCATATGAGACCACCTGGAGAAATTTGGTTAGCCACTATTCTATTTTCGGGACTAAGACCCATGTAGAAGCATTCCATAAACATCTTATCTGGAATTCCATGAGTTGGACACTGCTGCAATAGGGCCTTAAATCTTTGCCACAACTCATAAAAGGTCTCACCCTCCAATTGCTTGAAAATTAGGATGTCATCCCTAAGAATCATCAATCTCAAAGGAGGGTGATCCATTTGGTCACCGTTGCTACATGACATGCTCAATTTCTCTGCTCTAAACAAGCAAGACACAAAACAAAACTAAAAGTAAGTAGATTCAACTATGACTAAAAAGAACAAAATTAAACTTAACCAAAGAATCTTAACCAACACCACTCCCCGGCAGTAACGCCATTTTGATTAACGTTTCAAGGACACCTCATCAAATTCTAAGTGTCAACGATTGCTAGTCAGTACATAATCCAACTAAATGAGTTGGGGTCGAATCCCACAGGGAGTGGTACATGTTTAAGATTCAATAGATAAGTACGAATATGTTCAAATCAGCCAAAAGAATAGACATTTACAAATAAAACATAATTCAAATTAGAGGTGACACGAATGTCAAATAACAGGGATTTTGGTTTAAATTATCCGCTACAACAACAACAAATAACACAATAGTAACAATAATGAGACGGGTTCTTGAGATGTGATTCGATGATAGGCTAATGTAGACAAATGGGTAATTGGAACTGTTAGAAAATAGTTGAATATTAGTGAATAAGCTAGACTATAGAGGAGGTAAACTTTCTCTCGAACAATTTACCCAGAATCAAGTCAATTTCTCTCGAACATCGACAAGAATACAAAATAAGAATAACCTACGCCTTAGTCTATTCACTCTCTCGAACAAAATGTGTGGAAAAGGGTTTAGGATTCACTCTCTCGAGCTGAACCCATGACAACCCAATACCCACAGACCATCAATCAATAATCTTGGTTTTAAAACCTCTCTCTTGAGCAAGCCAAAAACACGAAGGTAGAACTGCATTTGCAACTACAATTCTTTAAGTTAAACCACAATTAATGATTGAAATCGCTTCTAAATAGAATTTAAACTAACAATTAGCAATACCCATAAACTAAATCAGTCCATAATCACATAATCACACCCCAAGAATTGGGGTTTTAGCTAGACATCATAAAAAGATAAAATTCGTTACCAAATTTTGTTTCCATCAACTGGTAATATCAAGTTCGTCTTTACAAAGGTCCAAATTGAAGAATCTCAAAGACCCACTTCTAATTCTCAAGAAGTGAAAAAACTTCAAATTCTTCAAAGCTAAGGAAAACTTGTCTCAATACTCAGAGTTCAAACTGAAAATTAATTCTAAAGATTGTTCAAAATAAAACTTGATACGCAACTTAATGTTCAAAAAACGTATTTATAGTCGCCAAAAATTTGTTGCGAAGGACCATTCGGTGCAGTAAGTCGGGCTCGCCAATCAACTCAGCAATCCGCCCTTTGGTCAATTCCATCGCCTTTTTTTCCCTGGCCTTCAGCATCCTCCCGGTCGGTAACTTTGGGCAATCTAGTTATGCATCACAGAATCACTTGGTGATCCACCGACTGCTCCTTTCTCGCGCCAACTTGATTTTCTCCTTCAGGTCTAGGTACGCTGGAACTTTAGGCAGTCAAATGGCCACTCGGCGACTCGCCTAATGGACTTGGTGATCACCAGGCCTTTTTTGTTCTTTCTTTCAGCTCGCTTTATTCTTTTTATGCAAATTAGTGTCCATGATTTGTTTCTCAATCGAAATACCTGGAAATTTAGGATTTTACATAAGTTATTTGAACAAAATAAGCATTTGAGGACACTAAATCTCTCCAAATAAAGCCCTATATGAGTCCAAATCTTGGATTCATCATGGGTGATCCAGCATCTATAGTACCATTAGAGAGTGTGGCTATGAAGGATAGTCTCACTTATGAAGAGGAGTCGGTTGAGATTCTTAACCATCAGGTTCGTAGGTTGATAAATAAAGAAGGTGCTTCAGTGATGGTTTTGTGGAGGAGTATATCTGTCGAGGGAGCTACTTGGGAGGCAGAAGCAGCCATGAAGGCTAAGTATCCTTATCTCTCTCCTTACGATTCCGTTTCAGCTTGAGGTAATAGTTCCTCTCCATTCCCTCAGTTTAGTCTTGCACAAATTCAGTCTTAGTATCTTGTTCTTTCAGCTATTCTTGAATTTCCAGCATATTCTCATGTTCTTGGAACTCAGTTCAGTTAGATATCAATTTCATGTACTTAGTGGTAGGGATTGCAGCTCCTTCCCTCCATACTCAGCTAGCTTATACTTCATTCGAGGAAGAATGTACCCAAAGGGGAGATAATGTAACACCTCAGATCTCAAAATGAAGAAAATCCTAGTTTTTAGAATGTTTGGTGCCAGTACCAACGGAACCATCCACGGATCGTAGGTAGGACCACAGACCATAGGTGGGGTTCTATCGTTAAGGCCCAAATCTTTATAGTCTCTGATCCCACCCACGGTCAACCAGTATGGTTTGTGGTTGGACCTACGGACCGTAGGTGAGGGCAGTAGCCAGTTAGAGGGAAATTGTTGATGGGTCAACTTCAAACGGTCATAACTCTTAGCATAAAAAGAATTAGGTGGCCCATAACCTATCAAATTAAAGATAACTGAATCCTCTTTCCAACACCATTGAGTTTTCTAAAATCCCATCTCCGAGTAAAAAGTTATACTTATTTTAGTGAAGCCCTGTCGGGCAGATCATGAACGATGAACCCAAACGACGGCCGATAATCTAAATGATGGACCGTCGTTCTCTCCGTGGATGGGCTTTGTCAGATTTAATTCGGGGGCATTTCGGTCTTTTCCCCTACGCGATAGACACATAAACTATCGTTTTACCTTTAAACCATATCGTTTTACTCAGTTTAAGCCTAGTAACTTAGTCATAACTTACCCAGAACGATTATTCTCCAAAAAATCATAAAATATTACAGCAAAAAAGGAGAAAAAAGTCTACCAAACGCTTCCAAGAACGCATTAAGTTTTCTTCAGTTCTAGCCCCCCAGTTGAAAGATTTCTTCGTGAATGTCATCACCATGTATGTAGGATTTCACTAGTGGGTTCCTTTCATCCACTAGGACCCTAGAATTCAATTAGATTCTTGATTCATTATATCTTGCTTAGACATAGGGTTTCTAAAACCTTAGATATTGGTTGTGATTTAGCTGTTATAGTATTCTTAATCAAATTATCATGTTTTTGTGAAATCATTGCTTAGTTCCTTGCATGAAACTCAAATGGGAAGAATCACCTAGTTTTTTTTGTCTCCACTGAGTTTTGAACCTAAGATCTCAGGGTTCTCGAACACTTCAAGCTTGTAAAACAAAGGGTTTTCATTTTCAAAAAGTGAAGACCTTATAAAAAAATGGTTGTTAAATTCGTTACAGGAGTTCCCATATTGAAGTCATTCTCAGAGTTTTCGTTGGAGCAATTCCTTCGAGATTTAGTGCTGTGGTCACTCTATTTGCCTTCCTTTGATTTTCCTGATAGTCTTATTCATTGTTCTTCTTGCTGATAAAACTTCGTATTGAAACTAATTTTGTCAAATCTTTTTTGTTCTTTTTTTTCTTGTGAGCAGGAAAGGGGTTTTTTCCCTTTGTCGGCTGCTCTATTGTCATCTTCTGCTTTATGGTCTCACGCTGCCTGCACGATGGACTTGTTTGTGGATATTGTATCGTACTTTGAGGCCATTGTTCTTTCTCTTCTTTCTTCTCGCTCAGGTTTGGTTTATATTAATATGATATGTTTGGTTTCCAACTCAGTTCTATGGTAGTGTTACTTGACACTACAAACACTTCGAAGTCTTTCTGTTATATATACTATTTCTGTTTTCAGGGTTGATATTTCTTGGTCGCGACCCTGAAGTTGCCACTATAATAATTCATGCCTTAAGGGGTGCTGATAATTGGAAGAAGGAAGAGTCCATTTCCCTTCGACATGCATCTGTCCTAATATCCAAGGGTTACTTTTGTCATCCACGTGATGTTGCACTGATCATTGAGATGCATTTGAAGGCAGTGAGATCTGGTTATTGTTGAAAATCCATGTCTTCCTTGTTTCTTTGTTCCTTTGAACTTTGTTGTGTTACATAGACACGAAAGATAGCAATGAACCAAACTTTCTCGTGGCATACTTCTCGTATACGGGCTTGTTTTTTGCCCCTTTTCAATGAGATTCATTACTTGATAATAAACAATTGTCTTCGCAGCTATTTGGTCCTGACCCTCGAACTGTGTTCATATTTTCTCTCTCTCTAGTAATCAACTATATTTCTATTTACTCTTGTACCTGTTGCAGATCACTGCCATAGATCGTTTAGTGACATCAAGTCCAGACTCTGAAGATTTGTTGTGGACAGTATGGCAGCTCTGTAGTCTTGCCAGGTAAGAGCTTGTTTTTGTTTCATGCTACAGGTTTTCAATTTCTAACCTTTTTAACTAATGCTATTGAGATGTTCTCCAGATCTGATTGTGGACGCCAAGCTTTGTTGGCTCTGGTTCATTTCCCCGAGGTAATATGCTCTCATTCTGCATCGATCTAATCGAAAGTAGAAGCAATTCAAAGCTTCATGTGTGAGCATTACTGGCTAACGCAGTTACTGGCGTCATCCTTATTGTTTATAGCTTATCATTTACTGATTCAATTTTAAACACTAGCTGCAGAGTTTTCCCTTGTTCCCGATGATATGTATTTGACCATCTCAGGTGTTTTATTTCCATGGTCTGAAATTTCTTTTGTATCATGTAGGCTCTTTCAGCTTTAATTGCGATACTACACTCAGTCAAGGAATTGGATCCAGTTTCCCCAAATAGTGGTACTTCAGAATTCAGTTTGCAGCAATTTCTCCTCAAGAGAATATGGAATTGATGCTACTTTATGCTGAATACATTCAATTTTTGAAGTCTTTGCATAATGTCTATTAACTTCTTGATTTTTAGGAGCTCCACCTTTGAACCTTGCTATCTTTCACTCTACGGCTGAAATTCTTGAGGTCATTGTTTCGGACTCAAGTGCATCTTCTCTGGGGTCTTGGATTGGACATGCTAAAGAACTTCATAGAGTCTTACATTCCTCCTCCCCAGGATCCAGCAAAAAAGATGCTCCTGCGAGGCTTTTGGACTGGATTGATGCTAGTGTGGTGTACCATAGAAGTGGAACAATTGGTCTTTTACGCTATACTGCTATTTTAGCTTCTGGTGGGGATGCTCACATGGCCTCAACAAGTGTTTTGGCATCTGATGGCATGGATGTTGATAATGTCATTGGGGATTCTTCCTGCACTGATGGTAATATCATAGAGAATATGCTTGGGAAAGTGTTGGATCTTTCCCAACTGTTGACCCCATGTTGGATGTTTAAAGTGTTCATAACATACTATGAATGTGAAATTCTATCATACATTGTATCTGAAAGTAAAAGAAAATAATCGCTCAACATATTTTCCGACAATGGAACATTGGTCAAACCCCGGTCAGAAGAACCTAGGTCTAAGCAGTGCATAATCTTTTGTTGTAAAATCTGTCATAGCACCACCATTTACACCTTATTACCTATAAAATAAGTTGGTTATGCTTTACAATGATGTATCAACTTTCCTTAGACAGAAGTTTTTAATGATTTAATCAATTGTAGTATTTGGTGCTTTTTTTTGTGTTACTCAGAGTAAGTTCTCTTGTTAATTTTGTCAAAACAGTTAATATATGGATTTCTTTTGGGGGTGAGAATGGTGTCCGAGTTGGGTTGCGTGCATTTCCATCTTTTGGACTAATGGAAACAAATCCCTCAACATTTTTGCCTTTACTAGGATTTGAACTCTGTAGTATTTGGTGCTTTCTTTATGTTTCTTGGAGTAAGTTCTCTTGTTAATTTTGTCAAGACAGTTAAGATGCGAATTTCACAATGGTGTCCGAGTCGGGTGGCGTGCATTTCCATTTTTTGGACTAATGGAAACAAATAACTCAACATTTTTGCCTACTAGTAACTTGACATTAGAGTTTTATTGCTTGTTATCAATAGAATCGTATTTTGGAGAGTAGTTAATCTGTGATTAAGAGTTATCTTCGGAGGATAGACCACAGAAATAGTATGTAAAGGCCGTAGAATGTAAGACTGCCCTAATAAGAAACTAGGAAGGTTGATTTCTTGTTATTGACCATTTGCCTAATTATTAGTCATCATAGTGATAGAGAGGGGGTTTCCGGAAGAGAAAAGAATAGTATTATCCGCAAAAGTGAGATGAGTGTAATAAGAGAGCTACCTCTATCCATAGAATAAGGAATAAAGTTGTCCCGAGGAAATTCATCCATTTATTTAGATAACAGCTTTGCTCCGATATCAAATAGGGAGGGGGAGACAAGGGATACCTTGCATAAGAACCCCTTATATCTTTAAAGAATCCATGTCTGACTCCATTAATAATAATGGAATACCAATTATTAGAGATCAATCTAGCAATCATATCAATCCAGAGAGCTCAGAAGGTGCCTCATATCTAAGCATAGAAAGTCCAAAGCAACTCTGTCAAATGCCTTAGCCATATCTAATTCAAATACCACATAATCTCTGTTCAGGTTGTGAACTAGTTCCTGAGTAAGCGACATTATCAGAAATAGATCTACCTTTGAAAAAACGAACCCGATTAGGGGAAATAATCTTGTTCATTATCTTGGAGAGACTATTATTAAGCAATTTAGAAATGATCTGAGATATAAAGATACTTAACTATGGGCCTAAAATCAGGAGTGCATCTCATTTTCTTTTCTTTCTTATTTTAAATTCAGCCAATTTACAACATCTGTATATGCATCTAGTTATAAGCTGAAAGTTGCGGATTTATATTGAATTGCGCTGTCTGCATAAGCACAACGATGGTATGCCTGAAGGTGGATTGAGTAACTGTAATTCTGTGGTTCTTGACCATTACAAAAGTACAGTAAGACTGTAAGTCTCATATTTCTATTTGTAAGAAGATGATTCATCAAACATCTTCCCCTGGCGATGCTAAAATCTTTCATTATATGAATACATCACTTAACAGGTCACCAATAAACAGGTGGACTACCGAAGCATAAAGATGTGAAAGTAGTGGTTCTCAGTTGGATTTCCCACTACAAGCCAGATTTCTCTGATGAAAGTATGTGAAAATTGTAGAACAAGTTGGAATTTTCAACCAGGTTACTGATGGTTACCAACTTGTATTGATCTGAATTCGGATAATCAACAGCTACATCTATTTCTTCTACATAAGGTGTAGAAACTTTGGGTACGGTATCAATTGGTGCTCTCTAGTCATGGGATTCAAAACACAGTAATGCAAAACTGGTTCAAAGTCGATGAGAATGAGACCATTACATGAGGCCAGAATCTGAACTTCATCGGGTAAAGTCGACACAGAATTATTGACTACTGGATAGGCCATGTCTCTACCTTTCCGTGGTTTATTTAGATGATTCCGATTCTTTAAGTATCAAGAAATTTTGAGTGAAAGATTAGGCAAGATCTTCAAAATCAACAAGGAGAAAAATATAAGCAGAATATTGAGAAAGAAATTGTCATACTTTGAGGAGTGATTGACCAAAATCAGTGTGGTCAGGTTGATCAGATTGACAAACATCAATTCTATTCTGGTTGGTGTTAAATAGCACAAAACTTTATTAGGAGAATCTCTGAAGTGATTCGGCAGATGCTTATGAACAATCAATGAACTAGATATGTTGACCTATAATGAATCAGACCATTAAGAAATCAAGACAACAAATAATATATATTGTTCAAAATAGTTATATCCCGCTTAAGAGTATAAGTGCGTATAAGTGAATTTGTTTTACATACTCAGTATATTAACACATATTTCTATTTTGACCTATTTGATACATGTATAATGCACCAGCACGTGTTTAGTTCCCCATCTTTTCTCCGTAGGTTCACAGATTCAGAGTAGAATTGCTTGGTCTTTTTCCACTTTTATATTCAACTTCTTCACAGGAGGAAATGCATCCAATTTAGAACATATGTATATGCTGCAAGTTGCGGATTTATATTCAATGGCTATGTCTGCATAAGCAAAATGGTGAGAAAAACAATGACATCATAGAAAAGTGCAGTAAGAATGTAACTAACATATGGCGATGCTTGATTGACAAAGACATTGTTGATAATCTTCTCTCCCTAGAGTGCAGTGATTGTTTTCAACTAACATAAATCCAGTCAGTTCTGTTTGGAACAAAATAAAAACAGCAAATATGACAATGCTTGATTGACAAAGCAAATTTTGAAAGGAAGGTTCGACAAATATTTTCCCCAGGTTATGTTAAAATTTCATTTATTGAACTTCATCAATTAAAATGTGCAAAAAAAAAAGAAAGAAGAAGATTTTATTCAAAATGCATATAGGAAACCACGTCTATTACAATATTTAACAATGCCATCAATCTCCTTAATCTCCCAGAAATGACAAATTGAATCATGCTTGAAGATAGTGAAGGGCAGAACGCCACGTCTATTACAATATTTCTTCTCCTCCTCCTCCTTCTGCTGCTCCTCCTGCTTCTTCTTCTTCTTCTCCTCCTCCTCCTCCTGCTGCTTCTTCTTCTTCTTCTTCTTCTTCTTCTCCTTCTTCTTCTTCTTCTTCTGATGATGATGATGATGATTCTCCTGATGAAGTTTCTTCTCGGAGGGAAATACGTAGACAAAGTTATATACAAAATTTGAGAAGAATTAGAAATGATTTACACTTGTTTCAAGTAAAATATCAGACCTAGCAATTAGAAAATGCTCCTGAAGTCAAACAAAGAAGGCACACGATATCTGACCTTAAGTCTCATTTAGGACAGCTCAAGAACTAAAATACACAAATTTAACTGAAATTAACTGGTACCTTAGATAATAAATCTTCTGATGTCATTCAACTTTGCAGCTATATATGCCTGATGAGCAGTGGTTATGTTATTGGGGGGCGTCCTATGTACACTAGCTAACGTTGGATGGAAGCAATACATGGGATAATTAACTGTCCCCAACATTACAGCATTATTTTCGTACCTATTGATCTGAGTATTATACTCGTATAGATCATGATATGTCGGGGGATGTTCTACCATAAAAGACACTTGCTTGCTGTCGATCCACACTGGAAAGCCAATAATAATGCCGTTTGGACGAGAAACAAAGTTGTCCAAAGTGTGGGAAACCCTCCAACGGCTGCTTGAACTGTCATAAGTGCTTATGACTATGTACTTTCTGAAAATGCATACAAGGGTAAGTGAACCTAGCGCCATCCCTAGCCATATATTCCGACCAGTCAAAATTTTACCGTAGCTGTGATCAAAATCATCAATAAACTTAGGACGGTCAATGAGTATAGCCTCTTCTCTCTTTGTATCAAATGCTAGAACACTACCATCATGTCTGAGCCAATACAGAGAATCGCGCCAATAAACAGATGGACTACCGTAGGATAAAGTTATGAAAGTATTGGTTCTCAGTTGGATTTCACGCCATAAGCCAAGTTGCTCCGATGAAAGTACATGAAATTTGTAGAACAAGTTGGAATTTTCAACCAACTTACTGATGGTTACCACTTTGTACTGATCTGAAACCGGGTAATCAACAGCTAAGCCTTTACTTTCAAACATATTTGCAGACTCTGGATATGGTATCAATTGGTGGTGTCCAGTTACGGGATTGGAAACACAGTAACGGGAAAATTGTTCAAAGCGAAAGAGAATCAGACCATTACACGAAGCGAAAATCTCAACTTCATAGGGTAAAGTCAACACGGATCGAGTGAGAGTGGCTGTTGGGTTTACGGAGATTTTGTAGAATGTTCTGTTTGCAATGCCATTAATAGAATATATGAGTTGAATAGAAGTTTCTTTATGACTTTTGTACAAGTTCGGGCAAAAATCAAGATGAGAAATCATACGTTTAAGATACTTGGATAGAAGTTTACATTGAACAACAAACTTCAAAGGCAAACTGGGGATAACCTTCCCAAGAAGTATATTGTCACGCCCCGAGCCTACACCCTGGGCGGGATTGGCACTCGAAGACCATTGTTGGCCCCAAGCGAACCCTTGGCCTGGCTTACTTAACTCAGCGGAAAACAATATTCATATCTATAACGATCAATGGACTTAACTGAACTGCATAATGAAATAACTGAGAATGTTTAAAGGTTAAACATTCAACTTGGCCAAAAGTGGCAACCCAAGTCTTGACAATAAGAAATGATAATGAAAAAGACTCAAAGGACTAACATCTGACTATCTATAAAGCGTCTAATAACAACTGAGATGGATGTTGGGACAGACCCCACAACATCCTAATAAACTAAACTAGATAGCAATGAAATGGATCTTCCAGAAAGCAAGGAGGCTCACCAATGGACTCTGAACTGCTCACTGGATTAACGATGCGCCGGAATAC